ACTAAAGTTTTAATATCTCGTACAGTTGCAACTCTTTCGATGAGCATGTCTTGTAGAATTCTTTGAAAAATGTTTCTGACTGATTTCTCTGTTTTCTTTTAAAAAATCTAAGAATTTGGTTCTGTTTCATTTCAAATTTGTGTAGAGATGTTTGATTTGCTGTGCCGTACACTATAACCCCATATTGCAGTATTGGCTGAATATGACTGAAAAAGGTTTACATTAATTGTGCTTTCGTTAGTATGTCACGTAATCAGAAGAGCAACGCACAGAAAGTATTCGTCTTTTGACAAGAAGTCAATATGAAATTTGAAATTAGTATAGAGGCCATTTTTAATATCATCACTTTCTATTATTAAAATGTATATTACTATGATTAATTTCTTTTTAAAATTCATGTTCATTGTTTTATCTAGGTTCAGAGTTACCTTAATGATTTTACACCAGTTTCCCATTTTTGATAAATCCTCGTTGTATTGGTGAAAGTTTTGTTCTTTTTTCTTCCTTAGAATAAATATAAGTTCACTGAGCTTGTAATAGTTGGTAAATCCGTAGTCATTAAAGTGAACAGCAGGGGCCCGACGAGGAATGATCCCCGAGGAACTCCTCAGTAAACAATTTTCAATTTCGAAATTTTGGAGCCAATTTTGACTTCTTGTGATCTATTTTTCAAATATGATTTCAACAATGCCTGAATGAGACCTCGCAGTCCGCAGTTCTTAATTTTTCGTCGAAATGTATTGTGTGAAACTGTATCAAACGCTTTTTTGAGATCTGTGAAAGTTGCATGTGTTACATTAGAGTTCAATTCCCAATTCCCAATCATTACGGATGTCTTCCTTGAAGTTCACCACAGCATCTTTGTAGACAATTTAGGTCTGAGCCGAAACTGGTTTTTAGTCAAAACGCGAAATCAATAATGCGTTTATGGAATATTTTTTCGCCAATTGTCATGTCTTCTATCGTGTTTTAAATTTTTTATGCTTCTGCATGGGAAATTTCATCAGGAGACTCACTTTTTGTTTCTTGCAGATATGTAGTTACCGTTGAATGATCTGTAATCAATTTATCCGACACCTGAACAACTGTAGGACAATTTGAGTACACCACATCTATGCAATTTTTGGAAGAATATGTTAGCGTTGAACAATCCTAGCATGCACTTTTAATTTGTGGTTTTAAATGATCAAGATTGAAGTGTCCACAAAAAACATGTTTATCGCAAAGTACTCATACACATTTCCTTGGAATACAAGCATTTTGAATTTTAATTTCAGTTTTAATGATATATCAAAACATACTAAATTTTTAAACAAGTTTTTTTAAACAAATTTTGAAAACTGAGTCTCTGAAATATGGAGCTTTCGCTAGTATCGTAAAGTTTCCAGCTTTCATTTTTTGAAATTTTGATATTTTTTGACGCTTTCTGTGAAAATCACAAGCCTTTTTCTATAATATTGGCGCATAATTTTTGATTAGACAAGACAAATCGTTAATTTGAGCTGCACCGCGAATATCGCAAGGTACACAAACAATTTTGCTTCTCATTTAAAAAATAATCAATTTTAATAAATAACCGTTTAGCTGAGCCAACTTGTGAATATCGCAAGTTTACCATGTGTGTGATGATTTTTCATTATTTAGATTAGTGATACCTCCGCGGATGTCGCAAAGTTGTTTTCTATGTGTTTTACTTTTGAAGCTGGAGACTAAGTTTTGAAGCTGGGGATTATTTTTGAAGCTGGGGATTTTTTTGAAGCTGGGGAACAAATTAATTGTGGTTTCTGCGATTCGTAGAAGATCTATGAAAGGCTATCCAGCCAGCCTGTCTAAGCATAGTCTGTATCTAAGGTTTCACCACATGCCAGACAGTTATTTAGTTTCGTGAAGCTCTTTTTTTTTGAGACGCAAGGCCGTTTTTTTTTGCGTCTAGAAATGCGTCTAGAGCTTTCACATGGTACCACTATTGCAGCCGTAATCGGTCACACTGTGGTAGACCTGAAGATGAAAGGTCAAATGAGAGCTCGTCCTCGCAGACTATCATTGCCATGGCAGCGTGTTAATTTAGACTGAAAAATTTAGACCCCATGTCAACGTTTCTACTTTCAAAATATTGTTCCAGGTTTCAGTTAAAGTTTCAGGATTAAAATAAGACAAACGAATTACTTCATTGATTTAAGTTTTCAGTACCATTGCAAGTTTTGGGTATTCTGGTGCAAGTCCCAAAATCAATTTTTAGGTTTCGGATTTAGGTTTAAGTTCCAAAACTTATTTTCGAGGATAATGTTTCAGGGTTAAGAAATCAAAGAATCTAATTTGCATCCCTTGTTTTACGAATTCGTGTTCAAATTCAAGTAAGAAGTGTGTTTCAGGATTTAAGTTCTAAATTTCAAGTTCCGGTTTTTAAATTCTAAGGTGACAAAACTATAAGTGTTTTGATAAAGGGATTCAAATCAAATATTTTTAAGGTAAAATTCTAGACCACAGGGTTAAATTTCAAGTGTCTGTTTTTCATTTTTTCAAGTTCCAGTTTTATACAGAAAATGTTCAAGAAGATGAAGAATTGTCAACTAGTTGGTGCTACCTTAATACTCCAACCGATTTGTATTAACTTTTGTTTTTGAGAATTGGAAGTCTAGTATGTTCATATTTTGAATCTAGGACATCTTACCTAAAAACAACTCTGGAAATTGAAAAAAGCGAGCATCGTGATTTCTCAATTAAACATTTTTCATATTTTTCTACCAGCAGGGGATTTATTGGAAAAAACCCTGATTTTGGAATGCAAATTTGCGAAGTTTCTGAAATATTTTTCTAGGTTCTACCAACCAAAGTCTAATAAACTCTTGATTGTATCTACCTTGATTTTGAATCATGAGTAACTGGTTCGGAGAGACTGCACGTCAACAAATACACAGTACTGAACAGAAATTTGAAACATTTTTTGGATTTTGTTAACTATCCCCCCTATGGTACCTTGTAATGCTAACTATTCCCCCCTTATGGTACCTTGTAACGAATCTACCCACCCGCCAATAAAGAAGTTGAACAGTTAAGCATTAGGAATTTGGTACCTTTGCTGCAACGGGGGGGGGGGGGTAGAGGGGGGAATAGTTAACAAGATTCTTTTTTTTTCAGATATTTGCAACAACATTCGAAACCAACAAGTTTCTTCTAGTTGATGGTGATCTTTGTAGGGTGACGAAATACTTGAATACTTGCTTTGAATGGCCGGGAAAAAGTTCCAAGCTTCGATCATTGATTTAATCTCGCCTGGCGAAAATGCCAAAGCTACTCCTGTTTTGTAACTTTTTCAAATTTAGTTCATATGTTAGTTAGTAATAAACAATTGTTTTGCTATTTCAGGAGCGATAATCCTTGAATGCACAATAACTTTGTTTTCTTGTTTTTTATCTATTTTTACTTTTCTTCATTCATATGAACAAATCCAGAGCAAATTGCAGCGTCGGGAAACCTTAAGGACCCTTGAGCCAACCTGAAACTTCTGGCTAATTTTGTCGGCACGCGTTTTTAGCCCGACTTCCTTTGTTCTTTTCGCTCTCAAGGTTCCATAATTATCATCTCGCGAGTAGACAACAAACAAACAACCCTAAAATCAAGAAACCCTAATTGCTGTTTGCTTAATCGAGAAAAACGCGGTGAAACTTCTCTTAATTGAAATCAATTAACGACTGTTCAGCACCCGAATAGATTAGCGAAAAACGATAGTTCGGATTTCGTTTTAGCCAATCAGAACGTACCTTGCAATTAACACTCAAACGGAATATTTACCTTAATTGATGAGTTCGTTTTTAATCCCTCTAATAAACACCAGAATAATACCATCCAAATAACAATAATTAGCGAAACATACGTTATTTCACTAAAATACACATAATTGGCAATTAACAAAATGAGAACCAAAACTTGAGTGTGTTTGACGACTATTTTGAAATCATTCTCGCTTCAAATCGTCTCGCTACAACAACCAAATAAACAACTTGGAATCAACTGTCTACCTTTTGCAATTAAGAACATCCTCAAATAATTTTCACAGCTGGACTCTAATTACTTCGAGAACTGATCAAAACTTTCATCGAGATGTTCTCCTTGCCAGACCAACAATTAATCCATTCTTGGGCGACGGTGGCGCCTCAACCAGCGGACATATCTGGCTTGTCTAGCAGTGGAAACCAAAATGGCGCCCACACAACTTCGTTTCCATCTTTTCCTTATAGCATTACCAGTATTGCAGAACCAGCCACCGGAATCAGTCAAACAAACGTAAGCGTAGCATCAAATCAACCAAACACCGAAATTTCAACCAGCAAGAAGCCCAAATCCAAACCGAGCTCCAAAAAAATGAAGCTCAAGTTTGAGCCGATAGAAAATCAAGTTGAACCTCGTGATGATGTCAAAGCACTTCAGAGGCAAATCATCAACAAAGTTAATCAGCAGATGGATTACCACCCAAACAAGGCGCAAACTTGGAACCCTTATTTTCATCACGGATACCCAAATACTACAGCTCATCAATCCACGAACTCTTTCAACAGCACCAGCGTCAAAACTGAGGAAAACTCCGGGACTGGACACTTAAACTACCCACCTGTGACCTACTGGACCGCCTCGAACAAACAGCAGCAATCGGGTAAACCAATTGATAAAGAATTTATCGTGGAGAATTTATTCACGAATCAGCTTCAAGGTCAACAGAAAATAGCCGCATATCATCAGCAACAAATGAATTCTTATTGGAGCCAGTTTCAGATGCAGAACCAGTTCGGGGTCCAAAATTGTCACAATCCGTTGTCAAATCAGAACGCAGCTCCTTGTGATCCGACGAGCAGCCAGAACCAACTGAGTCGGATAAACTCAACTGCAACCCAGTTCTTGGGCGAGTGTGAGTCCGACGCGCAGCATCTCACATCTCAGTTGAGCCAGACTTCTGGATCTGGATCCAAGAATGGCAGTCCAGTTGATTTTTCAATGCACACGAGCAGCTCTGTCGATCTAAACCGGTGCTCAGTTATCGACCTTGCAACACCAGCAGAGGAAAATGTTAGCCAAGAGTTAAGATTTTCAGATCAACGAAGCCATGTATCGATGACTGCCAGCGAGTTCTCGGTACCAGCTCTGACGAATCAACAGCAACTGCAGTCAACATGTGCGTTCACAGGTGCTGACGGGACACCTAACTTCAGTCAAGTTGTGAACCAAACACAGCAAACCCAAGGTCACATAGCCTCGGACTTCGGACAGGCACAAGCAGTGGCCAGCAAAACTGACATCAATGGCTATCTACATGGCCAGCAAAATGGTAAGAACTTTTTAAAAGATTGTTTGGAGTTAGAAATCGGCTACAAATTGAATCAACTACATCATAGTTCTTTCCGATTTCATATTGAGTGTCAACTTTTATGTTAAATTTTATATCAGTTATATTGGTAATACTTAACTTCCTACGCAAAACTGTTTGCAAAATGATAGTAATTTCAGAAGCCCCATCTCAGACAAACTACAACCAATTCTGCTCTTTGCCTTCAAACGACTTCCTCGGAAACACTTCAAAACTCGGCATGCAGTTCCAGGCTCAGCAGTATTTCAACCAACAGTTCCCGAACTACCCTCACACGCAACAGATGTATATGAACATGAGTCATCCCTTTTACAACAATAACCAACAGTCAAATGGGTGCCAGTACATCAACAACAACGAGAAGGTACGGGAAGACGAAGCAGATGGCGGAAAGAGTAAAAGGATCCGAACATTGTACACGAAGTTCCAGACGAGAGTTCTCGAGTACTATTTCGCACAGAATCAGTACATTGGCCTTCCCCAAAGAGCAGCCATTGCTGCACAGTTGCAACTGTCTCAAACTCAGGTAATCATTCATAATATTGCCATTTTGCGTTTTCATTAATATTGCCATTTGACTGAGAAAAAAAAGAGTTACGACCACAATGTTGAGACGGAGTTAATGTTCAGCACGATAGACCATAGGTTGTTTCCAAAAAAGCTATGGGGTAATACAAAATTCGAAAACTTCGTCCATATTAAAACTAACAGCTATAAGAGCTTACTATCATACTTGTTCGAAAAGGATTTCGACAGTGAAACATTTATAATTGTTTAACCTACTACTGTTTTTGTTTAGATCAAAATCTGGTTCCAAAACAAGCGAGCCAAGATCCGACGAAATGAGCGTGGATTCGTTCTTCAACCGAACCCGCAATCAGGACAAATAACCGAATCAGCTCAATCTGAATCACCCCAACAAGAAAACGATGTCAATTCGGATGCACACGAGATGAACAAAGAAAACGTGAACATACTTGACGCACTTTCAAGGGAACGAGATCTCGCCGATGTCTATGAACAAAACGAAAACGAGAGACAACAGCAGGAAAGTAACGTGAACGACCACTCACTGAGTTGTCAAACCGGATTTGAAAACCGAAATTGCGGAAGTGAACCAAGAACTGCTGTGCTTGCACAGTGTGACAACCTGCAGATGATCAACCCCCAACAGCAAAGCATGCTGATTTGCGAATCTGAGTGAAATAAAATGGATATGCTTCTGCCGTAAACAAACTCATATCAAACTATTTACATTTACATTCCAAAGTAAAAACTTTCCATTGCTTTGCCATAAAGTGCTTAACAAACAAATAACTCCGCTTATAGATCTATGTCTTAGAAACCTATGGGATCCTGTCTTTCATATAATTGACACCTTTTAAGGGGACAATTCTCATGACATTTTTCGAGCCAGAAGATTTCGAAATTATACAAAACAATTTTAAAAACTTTAACTGATTGTCAACTTTTCATACAGAAAATTGATTACTCAATACTTGTCTTTCGGATTCGCAAATTGTCCTCTTAAATCATTTTGTAAAACGCATTCCCTGTATCCGCTGTCTTAATCTTTTGTAATTTTCAAGTTGTTTACAAATTTATTTCTAAAATGCTTCATATTAACTTTAAAACTGACCCAGATTCATACTTCTATCAGTATAAACACATTAGTTCTTTAAGAAACTACTTGAATTTATTTTGTATTGGTACGAGTTCTTTTGTTCCACGAGAAGTTGGATCCGTAGGTCTTTCTCGGGTCTCTCGCAATCGAAGTCAGTGGCTCGTCAACCTCATAAGTATACCCTAAACAGATAAACTTGGAAAAAAAAGTAAACACAGAAAACTGTCTTGGAAAAAATCGAGCCAAAGCATTGCTTTGGCAGGAGAATACCCAAAAACTTGTTGCAAGTAATAATAAAAGTTTTACCTACCAACAACTTAACCATAAAAAAGCATAAGTCGACAAAAAAGAAAAATGTTGCAAAAAAACGTGAACCAAAATTTTTGCATGTTTCGATGAAGGACAAATAGGGCGCATATTTGATATTTTTCGAATTTTTTTATTGATGCGGGACAAAATGCGTATTTTCAAACATTGGACTTCGCCTTAAGACCTTAGTTGTTTCGCTACTAAAATAAGTAAGATCGTAAAGTAGATTTGGAATTTTACCTAAGACCAGACCTTTTCCTTACAAAAATTAAAGAGTAGCCGCTTCTGCGGGAAAAAGTCTCGCAACCGCTTCTTTCGATTGAAATTTTCATCTCAGATTTGATAGGGTAGTTTTCAAGAAAATTCAAAAAGTTTTTAAAAACGATGAAAAGTCAAAAACTCGACTTTCCCAAATCGGTTAAATTTTTTGATAAAAGCAAGTCAAGGTCGGTAAACTAGAGAAGATAAGCAAAATCGGGTTTGTCGGTTGAACACTTAACCCAAAATAAAAACCCATACATTTTCATAATACCTGTTTTATCAAACAGGAATTCTAGGCAAATGAGCCAAGCAAGAAATTAGCGACTGAATTAAACTTTCGAAGCGGAAAAAAGGCCGACAACCTTTGAGCAGACACCAGTTGGGCCGAAAAAAAACTTATCATGTAAAAAAAACTTATAAAGTTTCAAGTCCCCCCTGAAACTACCAAAAGTAGTTTTATTTGAATTTTTATGAAATTGAGCATGTCAGCTGAAGAGCATGTCAGGTGAACAGCATGCCAAGTGATTCAACTGATTTTGTTAAACTAACTGTTAACCCGAAAAAAAGTCTACATTCGGATTTAATAACGCTTGGTAATCGCAAGCGTAAATGTTGCGTTTTTGTCTTCGAGTGTATTTCAGTTTTTTTTTAACTTTAAATCAGGTATCACAAATAAACGTCAGATGAGTTTGTTTAAAAATTTCAAATAAAAATGAATCCAAATATTTTGTTAAGGATTTTGCAAAGATATATGTAGTCAATTGAAATCATTACTAATGTAGTCAACCTTTGTTCTTTTCCCTCTCTCTTCTGCCGAGACGCAGAAAAAAATTGGAAAACTTTGGAAAATCTACTTTTTTAAACAATTACCGTGATCGGAAGGTTCCATGCTACTTGCAGATGAACCCTTCTACCCTTGCTCTAGATTTCAACAACGGTTGAAACTAATTGCCCCTGACCTTACAGCAAACGTTCGACTTATTTATTGAGAAAGTAGCACCAACCCATGCTCTCTGCAAACTGTATGGCCTGTTCCTTTGAGTTGAATTTAACCAGAAGATTTGACATCGGGTCACCACTGAAACAAACTCTTCATTTAACCTCATCAGATACCCTTGTCATTAAGCTTAAAACTAACTCTTATAAAAAAGAAGGATCCGGCGGTCTGTGTCTTAAATTCACGCTAACAACGACGCAAAGCCTCTATAGCAGAAGCGTTGACAGTTTTTCTAACAACTAGCAGTTCGCTTCTAGCTTTAACTTCAATAATAGTCTCAAAATGCATTCCATATCTCATTACGAATTTTTTTCAGAAAGTTCAGTTTCAGTTTTTTCAAACGACTTACGTGGATCCCCATCCCATGCACTGATTCTCCCACCGCTGTCTGTTCTCGTAGTCTATCAGCCACACTCCGGCAGAGAAGTCTCCGCTCTGGGTGGCCATCTTAGTAGGCTGGTAGATCCGCACTCTCCTCTCCAATCTGTGCTCATCTGGAACGCCACTCGCGGCACCTGCCGCACTCCCCACCTGCAGATGACACAGAAAACATTTCAGAAAACAGTAAGTCATCTGGAAAGATAATCATTATTATAAGCTGACATATAATCAGTAGTGAATTTATGCAGAAGAGAGCGCGTATAAAAGTTTTGGGCTAAAACTTAAAAAAAGCCTTGAAGTTCTTCAAAAAGCCTTAGGATTTTTCGCCTAAAATGTGTTTTGGCTAGAAATTTGAAAATGTTTTGCGGATGTTTTAGTACACTCCGGCAGAGAAGTCAAACTTTTGACCGGGCAATCCTACCGTTTATTAATGCGCTTTCAGAAAAAAACGGCAGTAGTCACTAAACTTCTAGCCATTCTATTCTTTCTTTTACGATACGTCTGCGCGCTGTTTTCATGATAACAAAAATTTAGTTTGAATTTAAATTGTACTTACGGGTCTAATAATTTCAACAAGGTCCTCTTTTGTGGCCGCCTTTCCCTTTTCTGCTTGTACTGCCGACACTGGTACAATGCTGGGGGTCTCCAACTGTCGAATGAAAGTGAGCGACAGTTGGGTTGACCTGCGAGACATAGACCTTAGTGCGGCCATCACTCAAGTGTCATGTAATCTGAAAGCAAATCCCACTGTTTTATCACGATTTAGCAATCTTTCAGAAAACGAAAAGTTCAATTTTCGATACCGCGAGAACTTGGAAGAAAAGACAACTAGCAAAGTTTGGGGAAAGCGACAATTTGCAAGGACTTAAGAATTCCAAAGAGCTCTATCCTCTGTTGACAAGCTCTCAACACGTTGACGGGACTGCGGCGGTGAGTATATTGCAAGTTTTTGTTCCGACCATTGAAAATGGGGAAGAACTTTGTATTCGGGTGTTATATCTTTTAGGTTCCCACGCAAAATCAGGCACCACAACTAATCATCGGACTGGGTTGAGTGATAATTCGAACGACTGAGTAATTCGAACGACATTTAAACGACGATTAGTACTGAATAAACCATGAAGTTTTTATTCAAGTCCTAAAAAATCTAGTAAAACAAGTTTTAAAGTTAGTTTTTTTTCTTAGTCATTTTACGAAAAAAGAAACAATATGCCTATTTTACTATGAAAATCGGCAGTGCCTAGAACCTAGTCTTTTTTTCGTTCAGATTCTTTCATCCGTGAGGCGACAATATGTAACAAGCGACGATTCGTAACTTTTTGAAGGGCGACAATTCGTAACAAGCGGCTATTCGTAACACTTAATTGCTGATAGGGGGATTAAAAATTGCGTTTTAACTGTTAATTGCAAGCATTGTGGGAGATTAAGTTTTTGATTCTCACTTCTTAATTACATTTAAAAACCCAGTTGGGGGACTGAATTTTAACGCTTAGTTATATCTTAGTTTATCAACGTTTTGAACTTTCTTACATTGGTTGAGACCATTCTTCCTCAATTCTTATTGAAATTCAATAGTTAGATTCGATCCATATAAACTCCTCCATCAATGCCTCTAGAATACACCATCAGCGAACGCGGCAAGCATCAACTTCTCCTGGAGGGAGAAAAATATTACCAAGTTCAACAAAACAAGGTTACTGACCAGACCACATGGCGATACTGTAAGCTTCCTGCAAATCGTCCATTATAACTTGATGGCTCAATTATTAGTGAAAAGAATGAACGTGGCCACTAAAACAATCCACATGAGCCGAACGTGAAAGCTTAAGTTTTTGATTTTTGCCCGTGCATGTACGGGAATGATAAAAAATTAAACGATAAATTCAATTTATGATTTAAAAAAGCTTAAATAAGCATAAATATAGGGTGTGCCTTTCTGTGGGGAACAGTGGAACTTTTTCAGCAAAAACAAAATTACTGTTAAACAAATCTTATTTTTCTAGGCATGGCGATAATTTTCAGGGGGGACTCAATTTTAACTCAAACGCTTAAAACCATGTTAAAAAAAAAAATGCTGACCGCATGTTGCTTTTCTCTACGGAAGAAAATTTAGATGTCTTGAAGAGCAACACAACTTGGCATGCTGATGGAACTTTCAAATCATGTCCCACACTCTTCTATCAAGTATTTACCATACACGCTGTAATGAACGAACAAAAAGTTCCAATGGTTTTTTTTTTGACTAAAATTGGATGAGAAATATCTGCGAGCTTTTGAAGAACTGAAACATTTAAATCCCTGCCTGGGGCCAGCAAAATTCTGCTCGATTTCGAAAAAGCGCCGAAAGATGCCTTTCATTCAGCCTTTCCACGTTTCATTATCAACGGCTGCTTTTTCCACTTTGCGCAAGCTACTTAGAGAAAAATCCAGGAGCTCGGTTTGGCTCCCCTTTATAGATCTGACGAACACTGCGACTTCTTATGAAACTTTTCATTGCTCTGGCACTTATCCCCCATTGTGATTTGGAGCTGAGGTTCAAATGTCTGAACGATCAATCGGGCGAAAATTCTCCAATCATTCCATGTGTAAAATTTTGAAAAGATATGGATTGTTCCAGTGTATCGCACAAAACACCAATCAGCCCCCCCCCCCCCGATATCTCTGGAATCAGTTTGAGAGCACGCGAGATCAAAAGCAAAAGACGAGCGATTCGGTGGAAGGTTCGCATCGTGCTTTCCAGATAGAAATGGGCTGTACACACCAAACTATACACAAGTTTATTGAATTTATTCGGCGAGACCAAAGCTTAGCTGAGAATAAGCTTACGAGGATAAGATCGAGAGACAAGGCATCAAAGACAGCGAAACACAAAAAAGCGCAGTTAAGATTGTCTGAAATATAAAAAAAACAATCAGAACAATCGAATTAGTAATATACTACAGGGACTAGCTTTTAACTTTGAATTCTGATTTCTTAAATTCTTTTTATATTAATTAAGCTTTCGATTAAATCTTTTAATTGTTAAATATCAGACAAAACATTGATACGAATTGTCGCTTGTTACGAAAAGTGGCCTTTTAGAAAAGTACGAATTGTCGCCTGTTACAAATCGTCACTAGTTACGAATTGTCGCCCAGCCTTTTCACAACCCACGCTCAAAAAATGAAATTTATTTACAAAAAAAAGATTAGGGTAAGAACATTCTGTGCTACTTGCACAGCAACCGACTATCCTTGTTGCGAGTTGTCTTTGTTGTAAGTTGTTGTTGTTTTACGCAATTTTCATATCTCGTTATGGGCTCTGAAGGATCTTTTCATTCAGATGAGAACTTGATTGTTAGTTGAAACAATCCACTGGATACCAGTGCTTAGAGAACAATACATCCCTAAGCAGCCCTTTTATACGTCCATTTCACTACAGTATTATCTGACCTAAGTTGTATATCATCAACAGAAACGATATTCAAATTGCCTTAATTCAAAATGAATTTTCAATGAAAACAATGAAATTTCTCCTGTACACAAGTTAAACTGAAAAGATACAATTTACAACTCAAATTGTTGTTTCATCTAGACTTTTTTGGGTTTGCCAACTCAGTCAATTTCGCTCCCATACTTTCATGCACTCTGTAATACTTTGCAATACAATTATCCAAACACATTCTCTCCGGTATAGTCAGTGTACCCGTTTGACCTTTGAACTCATGTCGTTTCGATTGTGAGTAGTCGTGAACTAGGCAGAGACTGTTGCATGAGTTGGTAAGCCGAGAGTACATGTCTTGAATCATTTCCATCTCCAAGTCTTGAGTGGTGGACGCCATATTGAACTAGGTCATTCGAATTAATCTGTATACTTTAAACCAGCTGCCATGTATATACAGTTTAAGTCATGAAAAGAGCTAAAATAAAAAAAAACATCGAAGATTGAGAAAAAAATATATTTTTCAAGTAGCATTAAAAGCACCTATAATTTTTTGAGCATTTATTTTAAACTATATTTACTATACATAGGCAAAACTCCAAATTGCGACCATCAGAAAGAAAATGTCAAATTGAGCTCTGAAATTAAGTAAAAACCAAAAAACGGATTTGTAAAAAAAATCCTACAAAAAGAAAACTTTATAGACTGCGAGATTCAAACAGACAAGAGGGGACCTTCTAATTGATCCTTGCCATTGTCCTTTTTACTAGGCCATGCTACCTGCCTGCATCAAAAATACGAACGGCAACGAATGCACTTTAATTAAATGGTTATACTTCCTACTACTTAAAACCTCTTATCAGATTTGGCAAGTTTGTGTGCAAAAATGCCTCTTAAGAGAAGCCAGCTCCTTGCGTGATCATGTAGAACCAAAAGTGCAGCAAGCGTTAAACAACAGAAAACTTGATACTTTAGTAGAAATCTACTGAATCAGTTGAAAAATGTTAGCTAGACTCCTGAGCCAGAGAAACTACGCCCGATGGTTTAATTTTTACCTTCTCAAAACAAATCATTTTAATTCTGCTCCTTCAAATTTTAGCAATCAATGCGACTAAGACTTTTTGATTCACGAAAAGAAATTGAAAAGGCGGAGAGGAGCTTCGAACCAATTGCGATACAACGGAAGCGACTGAGCTTAAAACAAAAAAGGCCACTTTTTTTAAATTAAATTCTTTGAGCGAATAGGTTTCAAATTTTGAAACTTTTACAGCATAACTGTCCTGATTTGTTTTTTTTTAAAAAATCATATTCAATATTTGACATTCAAATGACACAAAATCATTTAACCAACAAAACAAGCCGAAATTACTATAATTTTAAAATCATGGTTCTAATAACAGGACGACAGTCAACTGTTATACTCAGAAACGATTCCATGTTTTGGAAACTAGGCCGACAGGAATGGACACACAAAAACTGAAGTCCAGCATATCAATTTTCCCCCAAATAAATCAATTTCATAGATACTGAAAAAAACAAGGTCATAGATACTGAAAAAAAAACAAGGTCATAGATACTGAAAAAAAAACGATATCAATTTAATCGAAACAACAGGTTGTCGGAAGCTTGCATGCAAAAGGCGCCAGTAAAAACACTTGACTGATTGAGAAAGACTTTCGAAGTTGCTCAGCCTCAAAAATAAAGCATTTTCAATTTTTGACAGATTTGTAAGCTAAATTATTTTCGAGAAAAGTCTAGTACTAAACTACAAGTCACTTCCTCTCGCAAATGAAAAAAAAAAACAAGAATAGGCAGTTGCTATCCAAGCAGCACAATTTGCCATTTTCTAGTGGCATGGAGGAGACTTAGAAAATTAACCCAGAGGCGAAGCGCAGCTTCGCGCCTTCTGCGATACCACAAACACATAGCAATGCAAGCTAGTAGAGAGAACATGAAACAAAAAAAAATAAAATTCGGAAGCTCACGTGCAAAAGCTGCTACGCCTTAAAAGTTGTAAGAAAAACATTGTTCTTGGTAAAATTCCAAACTCTCAAAAACACTCACTCCTACGTATTTTATAAGAGAACCAACTAAGGTTTGGGTTACGACCAATTTTTGAAATTACCCTATTCATTCCGCATCAGTACAAAAAACTCAAACATTAACAAACAGGTACTTCCAGCTTTAGACTATCAAAACGTCACATCTCGACAAATACAAAGATTTGAGCAGTCATATTTGGAGGCAATATTCGCAACCCCTGGGAGTACTCTGACAGCCCCCAAATACAGGGTTAGGAATTTCAAACTTTGAACACATTTTCAAATCTAAGTTTTCTGAAAATTTTTTGAACAAATCCCAAAAACGTCTATCTCAAAAATTACAAGAACTTGAGCACTCCTATTTGGAGGCAAATCTAACAAACCCTGGGAGTAGCCTGACAAAGCCACACTATAGAGATAGGAACTTGAGTTTTATTGAAATTTTTGATATCTACGTTCTTTGAACAATTTTAAAAAGACATAATAAACGTCAGATCTCGGAAAACATAAACATTTGAAGAGTCGCATTTCATCGCAAGATTTGCAACTTGACACTCCTGAGAGAACCCTCACCGTACACAACAGCAAGCTTGAAAACTTCATATCTTCTCAATTTTTTAGAACCAAGTTTTTGAAAATTAAAAAGAAATCATAAAAACGCCATACCTCGAATACTAAAAAGATTTGAGCACTCATATTTGAAGGCACAATTGGCAATACTTGAGACTACTCTTATAGTACCCAACTACATGGTTGATAATTTCCAATTTAGAAAAAAATTCAAAGTTAGTTTTCTGAAATTTTTTTGTCACAATCACAAAAAACGTCATACCTCGAATACTACAAAGATTTGAGCACTCATACTTGGAGGCAAGATTCGCAATATATGAGAGTATTCTGACATTTTCCAACTACAGATATGGGATTTTCAAATTTTGAAGAAAAAAAATCAAATTTAAGTTTTCTGAAATTTTTTTTAGAAATCACAAAAACGTGATATCTCGAAAACTACAAAGACTTGAGCTGTCATATTTGGAGGCAAGATTCGCAATCCTTGAGAGTACTCTTACAACACCCAACTACAAGAGTGGGAAACACTAATTGAATGAATTTTTTTTATTTGAAATTTCTGATTATTTTTCAAGAATCACAAAAATCGTCGATCTCGTGAACTAAAAAGATTTGAGCATTCATAATTGGAGGCAAAAGTTGGAACTCCTGGAGAAACCCTAACAGCATCCCACTATTGGGTTGCTCATTTTAAATTCGGTGAAATAAACACTGATTTCACACTGAAATTCCATAAAAATTCTTAACCATGGCAATATACGATATGGCCTAAACTTGCAAAAATTCTTTCGTTTCACATGCAAAAATATTATGTTGAAAAAGCTTAAACATGGTGAGATAGTGAAGCCCGCTTTAAATATATAAAAGCTATTAGATAGATAATAGATACAAATTGTGTTTTGGTAGTTTCTAAGCATACACTAGGCGTGCTATTATCCTCATAGCCGTTTATACACTAAGGCGAAGTTGAGCTTATCACCATTTGGGATACAACAAATATAGGATTGAAACATCATCAATATTCTCACGATATACCAACAATAACTTCGAACGAAGTTACCGTTGAAGAAAGAACTAGACAAACAAAAAAAATTAAAATCAAAAGATTTTATGTTTAAATTTATTTAACTTTTAGGAGTTCCAAGTGGTGTTGATTGTAAGCATTTGAAAAATTGGGGCCAATCTTGTCGATATTATCAATAAAACCAAAAAATTTTAGGAACCAAAATAAGCGACAGAATTAAAGCCAACACCCACTAAACTGATATTCAACTTAAATGTTTCGGCAAAATCTAATTGAAAAAAATAGGTACTGCCCAAATAGAATCCGCAAAGCCGAAAACTATCAGCAAAAAAGTAATACCAATATTTTAAAACTATAAATAGAACTAAAACTAAAAAAAAATGAAAAAAAGTTTAGGAAAAAAATATGCCCAGGCAAAAGAATGCAAAATTACAATCGGAACAATGTTGAAAAAATCTTCCCCTCAGAACATGCACACGCACACAAGAACTTTTTTCGGTCAGCAAACGACGCAAAAAGTGAACACTAATTTTATGAACGATAAACCGAAACCCATTCAGCCGAAAAAAGACAGAATTTAAAAATGCAAATTAACAAATCAAGTTGGTATAATTACAACCAACAAAAAAAAGGAATTTGAACTAGGCCGCATACAAATTGCTAACGTGCTAAAAATATGACTCCAGGATCCATGAGATGATAGCTGTGAACAAAGCTATTCACGGGAAAAAATCTTAGTACCCGATTGCAATACCTTAGCTTATCGCAAGGGTAACTATACAGCCAGATTAATGCTATATGCTGATTACCATTTTATGAATAAAATTAATTACGCAACGAGTGAAGAACCCAGTTGCAATACACTGGCTGATCGAAAAGGTAACAATAGAAAAATAGCTGATACATCTGTTAGCGACGCTAGACATCAAAACCTCTCGTTTTAAAATCGAGCAATGCTAAAGATAGGAACCACTTTTATCGGAAAATAACTTCAAGTCTGTTTTATTGAAAAAGGGTACTAGATAAACATTAAGAAATAACGTCTGTAATCATAACACTTGCTAACAAACCATCTCTATGGCAATTTTAAAAGAATAAAATGAGCCAATTTAATACGAATTTTTTTTTACAAACCCAAAAAAAACTTTTGAGCAAAAGAATCAGGAAGTTTTAATCTACAAGCAACAAACGCGTTTCAAGACCTTTTTGTGGTAGAATTTACACACAGAGGCGAAGCTTCGCTTCGCAAACACTAGCCACAGCACGACAAAAAGCAGCTCTTATGAAGTGCAAAAAGAAAAAGTAGAAATAAGCCTCCAATAAGTAAAAAAATCTGCTACGCCTCGGAGTCGATCTGCGACCTAGAGAATACAAAACTCACGCACTAACCACTCAGCCACTGACGCTTAATACATCAGAAACACTAGCCACAGATAAAGCAGAGAACAAATGCTATGAAATTTCCAATGCTACAGATCGTGATTATTGGTAAAAGGCACACACATAAGTGAACACTTTTAATGATCACTTATATTTGCGAGTTAAGTTAGAAAAGAAGGGTCGCACTAACTAATACACTACGCTGCTCGCAAGTGTAATGAAGCGATCAGAATAATCGAAGAATTAGGTTGGGTCGAAATCCACTTCCATCAAAAAATTATGCGCTTGAAACATTATCTTATTACGCACACAAAAGATTTCATGAAGTTCCGGAGGAAATTAGCTTGAAAACAATAAAATAGAGACCACTGTCTTCACTTGAATGGTATTGTAGCATTTCAGTTACCAAAAACATTACCATTTACAATAGAAAGTGCATGTTATTTTTCGACCAAGTCATTGGAAGTGTCTGGAATGAGATATGACGTGGGGGGTTTTTCCCGCCTGATTATTGTGGTAGTAATATTCTATTATTGTGGTCGGAATTTTGCCATTAGATTGAAAAGTAGCTATGCTACTCAAGTTACTTGTTTGCACAGAAAAACATCAGTAAACAAATTGATAATACTTGCTAATCGCAAGTATTACGTCAATCCAGAATACAGCTGGAAAAAGCTGCAGGTACTAGTTCTTAATACACATCCCATACACTTTCTTAATACCAGTTTTCATCAAACAGGAATTCTAGGAAAACATTACAAGCGAGACATTTGAAACTCAAATTAGCAGCTGAAGAAAACTTATGAAGCGGAGACAAAGCCGACAATCTTTGAGCAGACACCAGTTGAGTCGAAAAATTTACTGAATATGTAGAAAAATTTACAAAAATTCAAATGCCCCCTGAAACTACCCAGTAGTAACTAGTACCCAGCAAGTAGTTAAATTTTTGAAATTTCCTAAAATTAAGCATGCCAGTTGCATATATTCATATTATTTTGTTGAACTAGTAGTTGACCCAAAAAAGTCTACATTCCGATTTAATAACGCTTGCTAATCGCAAGCATAAAAATTTTAAAAAAAAAAGGATTCCAAAAAAAGTTGATTGAAAATGTCTCAACGTTTTTCACGTTTCGAAAAAATATATATGACTTTATATCTCATAACTTTTAGCCCAGTTAAAGAAAACAGCATCGATTTGAAGTAAATGTTTTTGCTCAGAATCCAGAAAATTAAGGTCCAATTTTGAAACTAGAAATCAATTCATTTTTCTTGAAAAACAAACGTAAAACCGCAAAAGATCAAAAATGGCCTGATCAAATTTTACTACTTCCTTGTAAACGGAAAAAATCATCATGACCTACGTAAGTTTCTTCACAACGTTTATTGATACTTAATTAAGGACTTCACTTCAGCGCCGCAGATGCACTTCTGTATCCACAAATTCAGTTTTTAGAAAATTTCTCAAGCTTTTAACTACAAATTATTTTTTTTCGACGCACGATTTCTCTCACGCCCATGATTATGAGCAATAACTTCCTACGTAAGCCTATTTAGAAAGAAAAAAACTGCAAATAAAATGTTAATTCTTTTCAAGAATTATTTTATAGAACAAAATTAGCATATACAACTCAAAAATAAACAAATTTTCAAAGATTATAATTATGGATCGAAGCACTGATATTCAAATTGCACATTCTTTGACACAAATTTTCCAAAAAGCATGCCAGAAGTAAGCGGTCAAATATCCTTGGAATGTCTAGCTAGGATTCATTCTGCTTGGCTGCGAGGTATATGAGTCCATGAAGAAACGCATACCTCTTTGAAGCTGAAAAAAATCTGCATTTGAGAATCCTATGCAAAACTCGAACGATTTGAAATAAAAAATAAAACATTTCAGTGCTTTTTCTTTCTCGTTGAAAATCAACGCTGATATTCACGAAGTTAAAAAGGATTTGATCACACAAAATAGCTGTAGCATGACAGTTACCGTTGGGCAGTTTGTCACAGTTTTTCATGATGTTCCAGAAATGATGCATTCGGCTTGCAGATACTTCTAAATTATCCCTGTCATCAGTTCTATCGTGAAGCAGTTCAAACAGCGCCTAAAAACTTAAAGGTTTCGTTGTTTGAAAATTCACATAAAAATGATCCAAAGACAAGCTATTGCTAGATCAAACAAAATAACAGAATCATGAATTATCATTTACGATCATGACTTTTGTATGCATCAAATTGAAAACTACTTAATTATTATACAAACAAAATAACAGAAACATGGATTATAATTTACGACAATGACTTTTGTCTGTGTCAAATTGAAAATTAATTTAATATTATTATAAAATAGCTAAAATTGTGTATGAAAGATGACATTTTCCTTCATAACGGAAAAATGTTCTTGAACAAACTTAAATGTTTGTAACATCAGCCAGCATACATTGAAAAAAAGGCAATTCGGGGTTTTGGTTTTAAAAATTACGAATACTTCCAGCTTTGCAAAATTTGTTTTATAAAAAAACTGTCGACATTGTGGGCATTAGAAAATGACCATTCGCACAATAACAGTTTTAAGTACACTAGGTGTTTGCCCTGATAAATGGCAATGAGAAGAAAATTGAGAAGAAAGATCTTTTTTTTTCAAAAAAAAGTCTCAAAAAAGACTCTTTGTTCAAATTGACAATTCCATGTCATTGGCCCGCGCGTATAAAATTTCGATCTTCAATAATCAGATAACCAAACGTACCTTGTTAACATTTATCCAATTTTTTTTATAAAATCATTAAAATTGTCGTCAAATTAAAGGTTTATCGCAACAAATTTTGGAGACCATATTTGCAGCCCTTGGGAGCTCGCTGAAAACAGACGACCATAGGATTGAGAATTTCGAAAACTCAAGACTTTTAATTTGTGAAAGAAAAGACTTGGCAGTCAGATTGCGAAGGCATCTTCGCAACCTCTGGAAAAACCCTGACATCAACCATCATATACAAAAACTGGATTATCTAAATATCGTACTAATCATGACGATCCACCGTATGACTTTAACGTGTAAATTTCTATTGTTTCAGGAAAAACGTATAGACGTATGGCAGAGAAAAAAGCGCAACAAATGATTAACATGGGGAGAAACTGACGGAAAAACTTGCAATAGTTTCAAGCACTTGAAAACTTCTGAGGAAAACCTGACTGCGAAATCAGCTATTTAAAAATTAATCCATACTTGTTCACAACCATTTTCAAATGTGATTGATTTAAACTATAAAACTTAAGACTGCAAAGTTATCTATTTGTGGTTTTTGAGGTTAAGTTCATTGCATTTAACACAGAAACAGTGCTATACCTCGTAAGCACGAGAATGCAAAAATTGTCTCTGAAAAAAAGCAAGATCATACAAAAAAAACTTCGATAACATCAGCAAGCATAAAAAAAAATCATCTGAGTCTAGTATGGATTTATTGGGACAAAATAGCTTACCTCGAATCAAATTGAAAAAACTATTTGACACACCCATGCAAGAATTGATTCGACGAGCTCAATTAAAGTGCGCTTACGCGTTGAATATCATAAATAAAGGCACGAACGTGCAAATTATTTTGTCCAGCAAATTGACAAAATGTCTTCTTCTAAGCTTCCAAGAAGAGGGCATTTTAGAACCAAGGGCTTCAAAAAGTATACAATTATCTCCAAAAACTAATATTTGGATGAAATTTACACTAAAATGAGCAACTTTTGTTGATAAAAGCAGTCGTGCCATATAGTACAACGCTCGCAAGCACGCAAGTTTGATTAATGACATGTTACCAAAAGCACTATCAGCCATTTACTATCAATCAATAACATTTGAAAAATTGAACTAAAAGTTCATTGTTTGGCTCGTAGCAAAAACAAGTTCTGGAGGGGAAAAATTTTAACAGAGCCAACAGACAGTTGGAGAAGAGTAAAAAAATTCTGCCTTGTTTTTTAAAAAAAAATCTCTTCCGAATTTCAAAGAAAAAAGATGCCCTTAAGCTCTTTGTATTTCTTGAACAATTTATGATTGGCACTTTTTTGATAAAACAAACCCAATTTGAGAAAACTGGATCAATAAGTTGAATCAATTAAGCTGAGTCAATTTTGAAAATTTTGGAACAATATCAGACAATATTTAATCCACTAGAGCCATGTAAAACAGATGAAAAATCTAACTTAAAAAACTACATCATAGGAGAAAAAAGCTCACCGCTTCAACGTCGTGTCTAATGGCTTTATTCAGTGTCGTCAAAGGAACAATGTCTTTCTGCAGAGCATGTGCCAGACTCTGCAAGGCCTGGACCCTCTTGTCAATCCAATAGACTAGCACAAATGAGGGAAGCAAGTGAGACTTCCTAATTCCACAACATGTCGCCAGGTCTATCTAAGAATATAGCCAACAGACAGTTGGAAAACTGTCAATGAAAACTAAAAAAAAACTTCAAGTTTTTAAAATTCCGCCGTGAAATTTAACCACTCGAAACTAAAGGTATTCAAATCATTTGAGTTGAACTCGAACTTGAGTCAAACCGAGCCATAAAAAAACAAATTTGAGCGTGATAAGATTTCCTGTTAAAATTTTAGATATGCATGAGTGCATCCAACTGGTTCCGAACTAAAAAGACAAAACGCTTTAAATTTTCAATTCTCTAAAACTTTCAGTCTAACTTGTCAGAAAAATATCTCAAGAGGAAACAGTGCAACAGTGCCCGAAGTATAACAGTGCCAAAGAAATGTTCAACTAGGCCGAAATTCATCATGCTTCAGGACTGTTGCTATTTCATCATTTTCTCAGTTTAAAAGAAAAAACTGTATTTTGAAAAACAACCGATAGCTGAATTCATTTTTTTCAAATACTCAGCTTAAAATAATCGACTTTTCAACCAACCAATTCATATCTGTCGAGGTAATTGAAGGACAACCGGTCAGATTCAAACAACGGCAGTGTTTCCTCAACCACGTCACAAGGGTCTATCTTCTTGTTTGCCGCCTAAAAACACTGATCGTTTTATCAAACAAACATATGTTCCATACTTTTAATCCAAACTTAAAAAAACACACAGAGGCGAAGCTGAGATTCGCATCATTTGCGATACAGCTGGACCAATCAAAATGAATAAAATTAGTCGCGAAAAAAACATGCTCACAAAATAGAACCCAGCGGTACACTACATGAGCAGAAACTCTTCAAGCCGAATTTAATTTTTTATTCCAAAGTAATTAAAAGATTTTACGTTCCCCTTTACGCAAAAAGAGGCTACTGAGCCGATATAAAACAAGCTAGAACCTAGAAGTCAGAAAAATGACATTTCAACAAACCGAGTGGTAAAAATACAACCAACTGAAAAAGGCGGCGGGGAGCGTAACAATTTTGATTCCCTTAAAACGACATAAAATTAGGTCACTGAGCCCATAAAAAAGGCCGAAACAATTTGGACCCAAAAAAAGTTTTGAAGCAAAACAAGAAAAAAACGAAAAAGGATAACAAAGTCAAGGTAAGTAAAATTACCAACTGCAGGAGTTAATCAAAGAAAAAGCAACATTAAAGAAAATGTGCGTCAAAATGAGTACTGTGAAGAAAGTTATTTACGGGAAAAAAGTCTAGTATCCGAGCAATACCGAAAGTCTAGTATCCGAATTTTTTCAATTTTACGCAGAAGGGAACCTTGGCAACAATTGCGTTAAAACAAAAACAAAGCATTATGCATAACAAGAAAGAAAATAGAATAAAGGACTGACGGAAGCCGAATATTTTGTGACAAATTAAATTGCAAACATAGTCAACTGAATTTTGGAAAACAGTATTGAACAGAACGAAACTAAAAAACTGACTTCTTTTACAAAAAAAAACGTCAACTTTAGGAAACTTTAAAACAAATATATGCCCTCAAAGCTTTTGTGATTGGTGCTTTTTATATTTGAACTTAACCCAATTTGAGAAAATTGGATCAATAGATAAAACTTTTATTCCGATGGCATATTTGATAATTAAATCCCATTTTCTAAATTAGAAGTCGACCACGTTTTTTATGACCTTTACATTTTTGCTGTTGGTGGAGTAAGTGGAGTTTGCCTTCCTTATAACAAAGAAAATGAAGTAAACTTAAAAAGAATTCAAAAGTCACCGCGAAAAATCAAAATCTGATAAAAAACACAAAAAAATTACCAAGACCTACTATATAAGAGTATTCACTACGTTCATTACTCTTACAAATTATTTGAGACACTACATCTCAAAAAAAAGCATATGTTTTTCTCAGATGATGTTCACAATAACCCTTAACAAGCTTTGGGAATAATTAACTGAGCGGCAATTTGGCCGACAAATTGCCTGTCGACCCCGTTAGACCAAAATCAAATCTGTTGTAAAATAAAAATTTTCAAGCTTTTTCACGATCGATTCCTGTTGAATTACACGAGCAAGACATCCAATTTTCCCTCGAGGCTACGCAATCAAATTAACTGAGCCAATTTAATATAAACCGAAACTGTTCAATCGAGAAGATGAACAAAACTATTCATGAAATCCGAATTGATCAACTTACAAATTAAAGAACAATTTTCAATTATAAAAAAAACTGTTGAAATCAAAGTAAAAACTCATGCTTTGGAAAGTAAGCCAAAAAATATCGTACAATATAACATACTTGCATTTGAAAAAAGAAAAAATGAGCCGACATCTTTTTTCAAAAAATTAATTACTACCCAAAGTGAACTCGGTAGTTATATTTGAAATTTCAAGAAACTGAGCTTGTCAGCCTGCTTCTAACTACACGTATTTGTAAAAGATTTCTAAGACAATTTGTTTGCGGTGAAAAAGTCTAGTTCCCGATTTCAAGCACACTTGCTCTACAAGTACACTTGCAAGTGAAAATAAATGCGCACTTTTTTACGATCAATTTTTTCAACGCGAAACCAGGCAGCGCAAAAAATTAAGTTAAATACCATATCATATGAAATTAAATTACATAGCAATGTACAAACTCGAAAGAACGTTTTTCAGTGTCGGGAAAGCTAACTGTCTATTCAGGCAATTTTCTTGATTCTGCTAGACCTGAATTAAAATGAGAATGCGAATAAACTAAATGAGGTATAATTCACACATGAAAAAGAGCAGAGCAAATGAACTAAGAGAAATTTGCGATATTTCAGTCGCAGTTTTCCTGCATTTCGTAACGGTTCCATATTTGTTACAAATTATGGCTGCCGTTCTAAGCCAACAACTACATAGCTGCTAATTACTTACGGGTGGTTAATATGGGTGGTTAACTGATTTTCATTTGAAGCACAAAAAATAATAGTATAGAAAGACACAAAGGCAAAGTCGAACGATTCAAATTTGTTTTTCAAACTCAGAACTAACCCTGCAGTAAATTAGAGAGAAACTTATCCCATACACAAAAAAAAACAGCAAACAATTTAATCTCACTAACAGAGCAAATTGTTCGTAATTTTCCATCATTGTCTGCCGTTGCTTCTTCTTCCAACGCTTCACAAAGAGCAATCAAGGATGGTTTGAAGCCTGTTTTTCTCAGTTGATGCTTCTCAAGGTCAAACTCCTTCCGCATCACAGTTGTCAAAAAAGGTCTTGCCAACACTTTCTTCGGATACAACAAACTGAAATACAATTCAGTCATTTCGAATAGAATAATTTTTCTGAAGACACTTGAAATTCTTTAAATGTTTATGATAAATGTCAGAACCTTCTCGTCAGTTAAAAAAAAATTAACACAGTATTCGCTTAATCTTAAGAAGCTCAAAAATTTCCTTAAAGTGTTGTAGAAATTCTTTCAAACAGGTGCAAATCTACAGTGCCGTATTTCAAATAAACGGTTAAATAAGAATCTCTTAAAACGGGTAACTCAAAGAACGCCAATAAATTTGTCATTATTTATCAATTCATGCCGATCGCGTTTGAAAATGCAACCAGATAGCAAGTCCTCCAATCTACACCAAAAGCTACAAAAGGTGGAGTACGAACAAGCTACCAAAACTTTAAGCATCCATGAGTTATCCGGAAATTGTTCAAAGTGGGCCACAGTCTGTTCTACAAGGTTGTAAGAGGGTTGCCCAGCCGAAAATGGATGTCGTAAAATAGCACTTTAAAGAAATCTTTCGGTGGGTGGCCGGGGGTCGAGTACCTGAGGGCGGAGGGTTGGGGGATCTGCTACTGCTTTGTACTTAATAATAGCGAGGGTGGATAAAATTTTTCTTGCACAATTTTTATGAACAAATAACTTTAACGACGTATAAGGGCATTTAGGATCTGATATGAGCAGCCTTGTTTATGCGAAAAATCACATTCAAGATTTCTCGTAAACATCTACATTAGATCAATCAGGAAGGCTAGACTGCAAAACGAAAAGTCTTATATTTAATACCAGCTTTACATGAGGTAGCCCAAATGCGTTAGAAAAACACTCAGCACCATACTTCCTTCCCACTTAATGAAGTGATGTGAACAAAAATGAGGAAATAAAACGAAGTCTACGCACATAGCTGGAAGAGCCAAGTATCCCACAATGGGGACTCCAAACAGGACCATCACAGGAACTGTAAAGAGAGCAAAGTTCGTCCGATTCCTCCTGTACTGAAACGCAAAACAAAATTAATATATAATACGTATACTACAACTACTTAACAAGATCTAACTAGTTCCCGATATAAGGGACATCACGGTATAACAATTTGTTTAACTTATAAAAAAACTTCAGAAACAATTCACGCAAACCCTTTTTTGAGCTAAAATCTTGAAGTTTATGATTAAATGATTTTTGTCGGAACAATAGAACAAAGAATCAGTGTCGAAAAAACGGTTCGACAAAATATCGAAAACTAGGTCTGCTAGATTTTTATACGTTCTTTGTCTTAGCCTACAAAACTAAGCCAACAAAAATTCCAAACTCATATTTCAAGTTTCGCAAACCCCCAGGACACATACAAATGAAAAAGAATTATCGTTCTTCACGCCAGGCAAAATGAGGCCGCTAATCCGAAATAAAATCAATCGAAACCTTTTAAACCAAATCATGATTTTCAGCGAAAAAAAAAACTAAAGGGAAACCATAGCCAGCAGACAATCGGAAAAGTACCAATAAACTCACAATGAAACAGTAAAAAACTGATTGACTTCTTCCGACTATTTTTCAATTTAAAAAGTTCAAAAAACACATCACGTTTAAGCTCGTGGAATATCAAAAATCGCACCAATCTAAATACTTAATTTAAATTTTCCTGAAATTGCCCAGGTCAGCAGCGCCACAAAAGATGAGAGTCATTAATAATTTTAATTAACACCAACGCCTACATTATTTTTCACATGAAAAACGACGAATTCATAATAACTCTTTATTTCTCAAAATTTCCAAAGCCATGCTTATTTTTTCACAAGCATTTTACATATTTAGGTCACTAGCACCCTAAAATCAGAATGCAAATTAGCAGAAATCTCCTAAATGAGTTAGTGACTCACATTGTATATGTGCAAAGCGTCTGACAGTGGCAACTGCCATTCTGGGATCTTTTCCTTTCTCAAGGTTCTCCGAATTTCTTTATATCGTCTACGATCCCTGATGAGTTCAAAGAACCCTAAACCAAAACCGGTCACTACTGCTTGTTAAAATAATTATCACTGCAAAATTTATTGTTCCGTTCATATTGGCGCTTCATTAACTGGATTTCCATTCAACTCAACCAAATCTTACACTGCGACGCAGCGCAGATTCGCATGATTTGCGAAAGACATCACAAACACAAAATTTTTGTTAAGGCGCAAACTCTAGAAAACTTTTCTAAAGGCGCTAACATATACTTCATTTGAAATTTTTGGCGCAAACTAGAAAAAACAAGCCGACAAAGTTTTCGAAATCCTCGAGAAAATCCTAGATCCGCCCGAAGAAAACTCGAAGAAACTGACAACGTAACCATTTAAATTATTCAAATTTCCTCATACTAGCTATAATCAGTCTTATATTATCTAATTCAGAGCTCATTTAATTCAGAGGGTCGAAGCTGCACATAACAAACCAGCGAAGGAGGCAAAAAGAAACTATAAAATAGCGAGAAAACGCAAACAGAGGTAAAGCAGAGGTTCGTACCATTTGCTATCCATCACGAGCATAGCATATTAAGTTAGTCGTCAGCATAGCCGACGGAAAATGAGACTAGTGGCTAATGCCGATAAAATGTTCGAGCAGAAATGTTTAAAAAAACTACATCAAGTGCAAAAAGTGTCGACGCCAATTGAGCAGAAAACAAAACAGTATTCATGAAAAACTGGAAGAAAAAATTCAAAAAATCTAAAGCAGCATAACAGAAAGGAAAATATACAAAAACAGGTTTGGTAAAATTACAAATTATAGAAATAATCAAAATGACTTTTAATTTGAGCGCAAAATGATTTAAATCCAAGATATGTCTGAGCTGTGACAACTAAGCAGACAACAAATAGAGAACAAAAGGGATGCTTAATTTTTTGAAGGGAAATTTTGTAAAGACGGCCTTGCCGGATTCAAGCAGTGCCGGCCGAATGTGTCAAATAAGTTGTGAAATTTGCAATTCAAAAAGTAAACAATCGAAAATTTTCAATGATTCTGTAGGACACGTTTTTTCCGTGAAAAAATCTAATTTCCGAATTCACAACGCTTACTAAACGCAAGCGTTAACACAAGTTAAACATAGAGGTGAATTTGCGCTTCGCATACACCAGCAAGAACACGATAAAAAGCAGCTCTATCAAATGAAATAAGAAAAAGCTGAAACCAGCCTCGAATTAATGAAATTCGGCAGCATTTCGGATTCGATCCTGCGATCTAGAGATTGGGAGTATCACCACAAACGCTAAACACTCACAAGTACATTCCACAAATAAAGCGGAGACCAGATGCTATGAAATTTTCGGATCGTGATTACAGCAAAAAAATCACCAAAAGAGCATTTTTATTTGCGAGTTAGGTTACAAAAAAAAGAAGATTCGTACCAAAACACTACGCTCGCAAGCTCGCTAGCGTAATATTTGCACTGAAAAAATTATACAAGATAAATAATATGAAACTGGAAATAGGTTTTCAAATTTGTTTTGCTTAAAAATTGAATTAAATTATCACAAACAACTTAAGTAGCACAATTCAATTGATGGCGCCAGTTAGGATCAATGTATTTAAGCCAGTCAGTAAGTTTCCCACACCCAAAAAAAGATGACATTAAAACAAAAATTACACTTGATAACCCAGCTAATTCTAGTGTTGAACAATATGCAGAACATACATGCAGTTTGATTGCCAACTAAATGAGTGTAATATGGTTTTAAAAAGTCTTTAAAATCAATTTCAAGCCAACGTGCTAATGCGTTGTGGACCTGCTGAAGTTTTCTAGGAGTTTTTGATTTTTGATTTTTTTTCTGAAATTTGTCTTTTAGTAAATTGGAAACCCGCAAACAAGGATAGCCGTTTAAGTGTGCAAGTAGCACAGAATGTTCTGACGATGCTTTTAGAAAACTAAGCTTTAGAAAGTTTTTTTTCCAAATTAGTGTAGTTTTTTCTGCTTGGTGTGATAAAAGGATCTGACATCAAAAAATAGTTTAGGCATATAAGACAGTCATAAAAATCTAGGCAAATTGAACAAAAAAGTTTGTACAAAAATGATTAGAAAAACTTAAAATTTGATTTTTTTTTCAACATTTTTTGCAGAAAACTTTTGAAGTTTATGGTTCCCAAAGTAAAGCTAAAAAAACTCCAAAACCTAGTTCTACTTGTTTAAAATTAAGGTTTAAGGTCTTGAATTAGGCACAATTCAGCTGTTGTAAGCAGGCGCGCTTGCTTTATTCGCTCGAATTAAGACGAAAATTGAACAATTTCAAAACGGTTTTTCTCGACAGTGGGATAGTTTTTTTGGAAAATTTTTTATGTGGTTCAAATCACGGCTGAAAGGGTTTTACTACGATGTATTACTCAACTCAGTCTAAGTATTATTTATAGTACCTGATTTTGCATGGAAAACGAAAAGAAAACAAAGCACATCCGAAAACAAAGTTCCTCCCCATTTTTCAAATGGTCGGAATATAAACACTACCTAAACCTCTGATCAATTCGATCAAGCTAAGATTAAACTAAATTACAGCTGCAGCAGTAAAAAAAAACTGAAAAAAAACCAACCGACGAATAACTAAGCTGCCTGACTCTAAGTTAATTATTGTCCGAAAACTTTAAAATCAGCACAGGGGCGTCCTCCGTATGACTTTTTTTCTTTCCAATCTATACTATACTTAAATGAGTGCGACAGCCATCTCCCCATGTTTAAGCATTTTCAATTTTGCATATTCAACGAAATGATATTTGCACGATTATGCTATATCGTATATTGCAATGCTTAGGACTTTTTTTCGATGTTCAAGTGTATGACTACTAGGCCTATTGAAAGGCCCAACAAGAAGGCTGTATCATGGATGCCAGTATGGAAGGGGCTGTGGAGGGCAGCGCAGTGTAATGTAAAAGCTGGAATCATCAACCTCTATGAAGAAACGGGCGTTTTCTGTTTCAGCTTTTTTTCAGCAAGTTTAAAATTAGTTACCATATTTTAGAGTGCAGTCAGAATTCTCCAACTGGTTGCACATATATGAGCAACTTAACCTAGGTTTCCAAGATACGTCGTTTTTTGTATTTTTGTTTCAAAAGATCTAAGTTTTCAAAAAAAACAGACTTCGAAAGCTTTATTAAACTTAAGACTCTCAATGTTTTAGTGGGGTACTGTCAGAGCACTTTCAGGAGCTGCGAACCTTGCCTCCAAAAACGGCTGCACAAATCCTTTCAGTTTCCGAGATATGACGTTTTTTGACATTTTAAAAAATCATAGATTGAAAAAACTTGAAAAAGATGAAATTGCGAACTCTATAAAAGGCTCTGTCAGGGTACTTTTAGTTGTTGCAAATCTTGCCTCCAAATAGGTCTGCTCAAATCCTTCAAGTTTTGGAGATCATCGTTTTATAAAAACTTTTTTGAAGATTTCGCAAAAATTAGGTTTGAAAAATTTCACAAAATTACAATCTCTCAATCCTATAGTTAGGTGCTATGAGGTTACTCTGAAAAAATGGCATATCCTGCGTCTAAAAACGGTTGCTTAATGCCTTTATAATCCGATATATGGCGATAACTTCAATAATTCAAACCTTAAAAAAATCTCAAAATTTGTATTTGTTGAACTTTTGTTGGTGTGATGTCAAGGTACTCTCAGAAGTTGCAGTTATGGCCTACGAACAATGATTGCTTTAACCTTTCTATTTTAGAACGTTTTTTTATTTAGCTTTTGCATTTTATAGAAACCTCAGATTTAATTTATCTTTTCAAGTTTTGAAATTTTTGACCCTATGACAGATCAAAGGTTGCAGAGTGACCAATAAACTTCACTGTCCAGATCCTACCAGTGTTCTAAGATCCAATCAGACATCTATCTATCTAACAAGCCTTCCTTCCTTTCAGCTACCCTCCCAACAAGCAACCCAACCAAGTCATAAACCAATCGATCCAGCCTTTTATTCATCAGGCGGTCATCCTTCCAATAAGACATTTGAGCAATCATTCATTAATGCACACAATCCTTTAGCCATCCATTTATCAAGCCATCTATGTATCAAGTAACCCATCTAACCAGCCACCAAACTATCCATCAATCAAGCCACTCAATTTTTAAGCGATCCATCCATCTAGCCATCAATATATTCAACCAGGCATCGATCCATCCAAACAGCCATCGAGCCAATCACTCATTAATCGGCAAATCCATCTTCCCATGCATCCAGCAAGCCATCAGGCTATCTATCTATCAAGCTATTTACTCATCAAGCGATCCATCCACCTAGCCATCCATTCATCCATCTATCCATCCCTCCAACCAATCAGCCAACCATCCATCCTTTTAACCATCCATCCATGTATTCAGCCACTGATTCAACCATTTATCCTTCAATTCATCTAGCAATCCATTCAACTAGTAACCCGTCCATCCAGCAATTCATACAACCAGACACCCATCCAACCAGTCATCCCTCCTCATCTAGTCAGCCAGGTTTTCTATCTAGCCATCCAACCAACCAGTCATCCATGCAACCTTCTAACCAGCCATCCATCAATCAACCATCCATCAGTTCAGACATCACTCAAGCAACCCATCACTCCTGTCAGACATCCATTCAGCCATTCGTCCGTCCGTCCATCCATGCATTCAGCCATCGATTTATCCATAACCCATCTATTCGTCTAGCAATCCATCCAACCAGCCATTCATCCAACCAGCCATCCCTCTAATCATCTAGTCAGTCATCTATCCAGTTTTTTACTTAGACATCTAAATGACCAGTTATCCATGGAACCACAAATCAATCCATCAAAGCAGCATCCATCACCTCAGCCACCACTCAAGCAATCTATCACTCAGCTAGTCATCCACTCTCAATCAGCCGTCTAGCCATCCATTCATTTATCAGTCCTGCCATTCATGCATCCACCCAACCAGCTATTCATCCATCCATCAACCCACCATACATCTAGCCATCGATTGATCGATCTAACCTGCCATTCATTGATTATGCCATTCGTCCATCCAACCAGTATCCATTCATGAAGTTTTCCGTCGTTCTAGCCATCGATCCATCTTGCCTTCTGCACACCTATCCTTCCTTTTAACCATTCATTCTGTCTTCAACCCATCCAGTTAATCAGTCTTCCAATTACCAATATAGAACTCCATCAATCCTACCATCTAGTCATCCATCCAACCATCCACCAATCTCAGTCAGCCGTTATTCAACCAGTGATCCATCCATTTGTTCGGTCAGTCCTCCATCCAGTCCTTCAACAAGGATCTAGCCATCTATCCATCTAGATATCTATCTAGTTCGCATCCAACTTTATAGCCATTCGTGCATCCACCTATGGTCGATATAGCAATCAATCCGACCATCTCCGTCAAACAACCCATCCGTCCAGCCATCTATCCAACAAGCCATTCATGCACCTTCCCATCCATTCATTCAGTCAACGCTCAATCCTCCCATCCATCGTCACAGCCACCCATTCATCTAGCAGACCATTTAGTCATCAATCCATCTAGCCAAGCAGCCAAATATCCAGCCATCAATCAATCTAGGCCATCAATCAATCTAGGCTTTCAACCAACTAGTCATCCATCCATCACTCCGGTCATCAATTTAGCCATCAATACATCCAACCAGTCAGTCTTCGATCAAGCTATCCATTTCTCTGACCAACCATCCAACTGACCATCTATCTAAAAATCCTTCCATGAATCCATCTAGATATCTATCGTGCTTTCAATTCATCCTTTTAATCATCTAGCCAATGATTCAAACATCCATTGATCTATCCTTCCATACTCACAACCAGCTTAACATCCATCCATCCAACCTATTTTTCTGTTACAGGTAAGCGTTGTCAATTTTTAGGAGCAGCTTTAGCGGCAGGAAGCCTGCTAGTTATATTTGAAAGTTTCCTGTCATCTTGGCATCTCTTCAAAAAAACCCACCTTCTCATGTGAAGAACATTCGTGTCTCTGATAACACTGGCATATAATAGTTTTGATTTCCTACTCTATTTTTCAGCGCGTCGTTTGTTTTTGTCATCTGATCGCATATCAATGTTATCAAGGCTTATTTCAATTTTATTTTATAATTCGCGCATTTTCATCTATAAAAAATTGTTTGAAAACAGAGTGAAGTTATACATGCAGACTCTTTTAAAAACTAACTTCTAAAATGAAAATTTTGGTCGAAGCAATCTAGGCCATTATTTCATTGATGCCCCGATTGCAATGACAGAACTCTTTTGAAGAGAAGCTGTTGTGTATGAGTTTTCGGTCGAAACTACTTTTGGAATTTTCTTTAAAGCGTTCAATTTGATTTACTTCAGAAACGATGTAACCGCTGATGATTATTAGAAAAATAGAAAAGCGTTTTAAGCACATTCAAGTTTTTATTCATAAAACTATTCTGCGAAGAAAAACTGTATCCAACGTACCAAAAACTCTTCAACCAATAAGAAACTATAAGAATAAGAAACAAAAAACCAGAAGTTTGGAAAAATCCTTCAAACAACAGAAGCTAGACCACTCACTCTGCTTTTGACTGAAAACGAGACGAAAACCTCAAGTCGAAAAACATTTTTAACGTCGGAAAGAAACTAAATCTACGAAAAATTTCATATTTCTGTCTCAAATCATTTTGAATAAAGTTCAATTTCAAAAAAAAGCAACTAGGACAATTGAATATCACAAGCGAAGCGGAGCTTAGCACTATTTGCGATAAAACACAATCATTAAAAAGCACTCGAAAAAAATAGTGAAAGTTGAAAAAAATAGGTGAACAAAAAGTTTCGTATGTCTCAATGGAGGAAACTTAGGGCCCAGCTAATTCAAAACCGGGACATTGTACAAAACATGAGTTGTTTCACGAATAAGAAAAATTAGCAGAGTGAAACTTTTTGAGATTTAGAATTTTTCCCAGACAAGCTTTCTATTACTAAAAATTAAAGAGCGACCAATTCTGCAGGAAAAATTCGCGCAACCCTTTTTTTTTTGATTGAAATTTCCATCTCAAATTTGATAGGGTAGTTTTTAAGAAAATTCAAAAAATTTAAGTTCAACAACTCGACTTTCGGAAATCCGTAACTTTTTTTTTGCTAAAAGCAGGTCGTGGCCGGTAAAGTACAGAAGATCCCAAAATGGGGTTTCTCGACTGAAAACTTAACCTGCAAATTGGCACCGTAATTTTTGAGTAGAATAAAAAAAATCCAAAAACGGTCAAGTTTCGAAACTTTCACTTGTTTGAAGGCTATAATTTTTTATGACAACTTTAAGAATCAAATTCAAAAGATTAGCTTCAAACAACCTGTTGAGTCGATTAAACCAATGCTATCAAATTTGGTAGTTATCGCGAAAAGTCCGAAATACGGTCAACAAATCAGAACATTGACAATTCCGAAAATCATAGCTTTTTGTTTCGAAAAAATTGGGCGTAGCCGGTTATGCAGAAGAAAATCACCCAGCCTGAAATTTCGATACAACCCAAAAACCCAGGTTTGGCAAGGTAGTTCTCGAGAAAATTCAAAAAACAAAATTTTGACTTTGAGGGTGACACCAGAATTTTAAATTTTGGTGTCAAAATAAATTGAGCATAAATCACTACGTTCGTTTATTCATTAAAAAAACGGATTGTGAAACTTATTCGAATTTAAATTAAAACTTAAGAACGTTATGTTGTGACTTTCACTAACTTCATAAATTCGATTAATAGAGGTTTGTATTGGCTATTTTGAGCAAACAACTATATCCACGAAGCAGCATTATAAACTTACCTACCGTTCTTAAACTGTAAGGTTGTATCTTTCAAGTGATGTTTGAAAGTGACCAGGCCCTTCTTTATCACAGACATGCAAAAGGATCAACGCAGAGATACTTCGTACCACAAAATTGATCTGAAAAAGATTCAAATGTTTAATGAAATGGCAATATAACATTTGCAAAGGATTTGTAACAATCGCATGGAAAGTACACAACGACGGGGGGTGTGAACCTAATACTATATCAATTGGCTAACTTCAAAATTAGATATTACGTTTTTTAAACGGGAGAAAGAAGTCAATTGAATTGAACAAAAAATAAAAAGAGCGTATATACCGCACAGTTTACAGTTGAAGCAGTAAAGCGAAGGGTGTGTGTCAACTAGTTGCCTCAAGGATGCATCCAGCGTTTTGCGCTGAATCGCTAGGTCTAGCTTTTGATTGAGAAATTTAAAAGCTAGTTTCTCACCTGTTTTAAACTATCTTCACCTAAAGCCAATTCAATTCAATTTCAATATCTTATTCTTGATGATGCATTTTGTAGCAAAAACGTTCGAAATTTACAATTTTAACCTTCTCTTAAACAATTAAATATGGTCTTTCGATATAGTGAGCATATGGCTGGGTCTCAGTATCCAGAGACCACGCAGTTACCGCAAAAATACAGGGCTAAATCCTTTTATAGTTTTCAACACGTTTATTGAAAAAAGTCGTATAATTTTGAAATAATTCTGGATCTTCAAGATGAAACTAATTAGAAATGCGAAAATTTTTCAATTAAGATTTTTTAATTCTAAGAAATAGTACTTTGCGTTTCAGTGTATTTTCTGTTGAAAACGAAAACGAGAGGGATCAATGTTGAATTAAACCGGAGTTGAAAAGAAACTCAAAAAGATTGACCTGATATGAGGCTACGGGTCTATCAAATACTTATACTAAGCTGCTTTTTTGTTACCTTGGCTCTATAAATGAAAAATTTCTTCGAAAGTTTTGTATCATTAATAGTGTGGAGTACATAGGCAGCGTTCGCAACCTGTATTGAGAGGGAGATTTTCTGCTTAAAAAACTACTTGACCTGGATTCCTCGGTACACGTTCTCAAGTTCTTACAGAGCTAATTTGAAGCAAAATTACAGAGCTAATTTGAAAACATCTCAATGCTAGGGTTAACTGAGATCCATGCAAAGGCCAATAATTCCAACTATCATGATCAGAATTATTTCAGAAATTTGAGACTTAAAAAAATTCAGAAAACTAAAGATGTTGAAACGTCTTTAACTTTTTATACCAACTATATGAAATAAAGAAATTTTTGCTAAAAAGTAAATTTCAAACGTTTTCGCAACTATGTGCATCGTCAGGATTTTTACAATAAACTACTCTAAATGACGATAAAACATCAATTTACAAATGTTATTTACAATAAATCACATACAATTTGGTTCTAAACCATCATGATAAAAAATTAGCCAATCACAGTTGACCTCTAAATTACTATTAAGATTAAAATACTTTTAACCTCTAAAATTAATTAAACATTTTAAAATTATTTTGTCTGGAAGTTTCTGAGTCATAATTTCGATTTAGACATGTACGTTTTGAATAAAAAACCAAAAATATTTTGGGACTAAATTTTCAGTGTTATCTCCCTGCTCCTAAACTCATCGCGCGTGTTCAAGCCCGGTTTCTCTTTCCTGATGTGTATTGCCTCTAGTGTTAGCAATTTTGTTTGGTTGTTTGACCTATCTATAATTTCCCAACTAAGATCTGCGCTATTTCCCTCAAGTTGGCATTGCTGAAGGTGGAGGCCTACCGGTGAGTCTGCTTTCTTATGTTCCTCAATTCTTATGTTCCTCAAGTACACTTTCGGTATAAAGTATAGAGAAATACTGAAAGTGTACTATTTTTGCTGGAATGATATATGAAATAACCATCGGTATAAAGTATAGAGAAATACTGAAAGTGTACTATTTTTGCTGGAATGATATTCGATGAGGAATGTTTGATTGTGGCACAAAATGTTTATGTCGGGGTCTCGGGTACTACAGGACGTGTATTGCTGTTTCTTCCGGTGACCTCTCAAGGCTATCAAGGCAGTTTTCAGGATGGTGAAGGAGAGCTTCTTCCGGATATAGTTCATAGTGTCTGCATACGTACAGTTCAGCTTCTCACTCATTTTTTCCGCCAGTATAGCATGATATCGCTTTGCCTCCTCACCCATGGCGCCGTTGGTCGCAAAAATCAAGGGGGTAAAAGAGGCATGCTCTACCTGCAGAACGCGGTCGTTGTATTCGACTTTTTTCCGATTCTCATGAGTGTTTAGGATTGGCTTCAGTTCTCGGTTCCTATTACTTGGAGCGTTCGGGTGTGTGAAACGGACGTCAAGAAACATTTCCTGCAGCGGCGCCCAAAAACCTCGACAAGAAATATCCATTCTTGCATTGTCTTCCAGAATGCTTCCACTTTGCTTCCAATTGCAAGTTCTTCATTTTCCGTCAAATGGATCAGACCGGGCTCAACGCTCACATCCTTGCACACGTTACGTAAAAAGTCGGCTTCGACGTCGCGGACAGCGTTGTGACGCATTATGACGAAACCACCCAACTTACAAATCAAGGCATGGTCGATATCATTTGCCGCGCCACACTCACAAGTGTGAGCCATTTTTTTCAGGTGCCATACATATCGGAGACATAGCGCATCCCGGAACTCGTCTCTGTTCATGTGAAAATTCTGCTGCCTAGATGGCAGACAAGTCAGCCATGCGGATGTTCCTTTTGGCTATAGCAGGTCTTGCGTGCGCTTCATTTCATTCTCACTTCGGAAATACACAATTTCGAGCGCTTCTTCTGCAGGTTTACGGTTCGATCCTGAAAATTTGCTCATCCAGTTCTATTCGTGTAGTTAATAAGATCTTGTTTAGCAATAACTGCGTTTTTCAGTTTGTTTGTCAGCTTGACAGAGTTTTCATAGAAACGAGACGCACATTCTGTTGGATTTATTAGACCTAATTTACCAGCTGAGCCGGGCAATGCTATGATGTCCCGTTCTAGATCACTGAGAGTTCTGTCGACTAAAAGAGAAATAACGTTCCTTAGTTTGGCTTCAAGTGGCTGCATGTGCAGTTCAGAACCAGGAATAGTCCTCATTATAAAATTCCACCGACTCTGGATCACCTTGACGAGAGCAATATAGGCAAGATGGGGCTCCGTTTTGGCCGCTGCTTCCAGCGAAGACAACTCATTCGACCATTCTTAAATTTTGTCTCGTAGATAGTCGTTTGTGAAGTTCTGGCTGCCACTTGCCGCTCCCAAGTATGGACGTCCTTCGCTTGTGATGTTGATATTCGTGTTCTCAAAGACCTGCTTGGCTTGCTCTCGGAGACACTCGCTTTTTATTATTAACCAACATTTCGACGGTTTCGGAAAATACCCAAGCTTGGGGCCGATACTGGTCAAAAGATCAAACCACTCACAAAGTTGAACTAGCTTCCCAAGGCCTCCGGCGTCGTCAGCGAACCACTCTTGATGACACCCAACTTTTGTTTAGACTGACAAGGAGTTTTTTCAAGCTCAGCGCATAAAATGCCATCGCTAAATTATCTCCTTGAGTGGTGCCTTCCTGTGATAAAATTTCTACTCCTTTGCCTAGAATGAGTCTGGCTGGCAACCGATAAGTTTTGATAAAATAAGTGCTTATTTTTGGGCATATATGCCTTATAATAAGAAGGGCGGTTTGACGATTCAGTCTGTTGAAAGCATTCTCAGCATCAATCAATAGAACGGGTTCTGTGGACTCCATCTGGAATATTTCCCTGGCTGTATGAATTGCTGCTTCAACGCCACCTTCTTGACCTGCGCAGGTTTGCTGTGATCCTGCTGCATGGCAAATATCGGCACCAAAAAATTGAGCTATTGCTTTCCCGAGAAATCTTCTGATTATCTCTCCAATGCCTATTGGCCTTATGCCGCCTTTACCATCATTTTAATTCAGTACAATTGCTCTTCATACTATATATGATGCATATTCTTCTTCCTAGAGCGGCTAAGGACTCACAAAGACTTTCTGAGGCTCTATTGTGCTTCTTGGAACAGAAGAGTTCCTTCATCTTGTTCGCATCTAAACCTGATGGACCTGAGGATCCATGAGTCCGAAGAGCCGCTGAGTACATGCTCTTCGCACCTAGATTCTCAAAGATCACGGGATGGACTTCGGGAGGAATACCTTGTAGCAATTCTTCCCGGTTTACATCTTGACCAATCGGATGTAACAAAGCCATCTTTGCTCTCACGTGCTCTGTGGGAGGCAGCACTCCAGTAGCATCCATTTGTGATAAGACTTTCACGGCAGCGCTCAGTCTCCCTTGGAGAACCAAATTGCAAAAACTTTTCATTTTGTTGTCACTATATGAACTGACAACATACATAGTTCCGAAAAGGGTCAAATACCAATCTTAAATTATATCTCTCATTATTTATACGTTTCAGGCCAGAGGTATGCTATATCAACCAGAGATGGATCTATCCATTTCTCAACTCCTAGTTTTCCCAAAAAAGGTCAATTAAAATGGACCCTTCCATCATATGACGGTACGTGCACAGGTTAAATAGGGCCGTTCAACGCTATATAGATATAAAGGCTAAATTTTATGAAAAAATCAAGTCGATATTAACGCATCAAAAGAATTGTCAATTAAAATATACCCTCCTCGATTATAGCACAGATAGAATTGTCTATCTTGGATGTATTTTTAAGATTTTTGCACCCCCTGAGGCAGAGGATTGCACTCCTCAGAAGTGCAAAACTTATTTTTGTTCTTTTAAAGCTTATTGTGTCCGAGTATGATTCGTTCCGTTTTTCGCTTAGTTTCTCTGCTAGTTTCTGGATGGTTTTTGTAGAGACTGGTGCTGCTCCTTCGGTACACGCAAAAATTAGTGGAACAAAGCTGCTGTGTTACACATTCAGAATTCTTTGTTGGTGTTATAATGTTTTGACACTCATGATATTTTTAGGCGTCAGATATAGTTTTAGGGCAGGATTCAGTTGAAAATTTTTACATCGAAAAAAGTTCGGCTGAGTCGGCCTCCCCAGGTTCCGTTTGCCTTGATTTCGGCTCTATTT